AACGTAGAGAAGTAAATATTAGGAAGGGAGTCAGGCAGGGATGCACACTGTCACCGCTACTTTTTAATCTATACATCGAAGACGCCATCAACATCATTAAAGACAGTACAACTGTAGGGATAGATGTGCAAGGGCAAAAGATTAGTATGCTTAGATTTGCAGATGATATAGCAGTATTAGCATCTAGCAAGGAGGACCTAGAGATAGCTTTAAATAAAATGGAAGCGGTACTGACAGATCAGTACTGTATGAAAATAAATAAAAGTAAAACTAAAATACTGATATGCAAGGGAAGAAAAAGTAGGGAAAGAGCGAATATAAAGATAGGAGACGAAAAATTAGAAGAAGTGGCTGATTTTAGATACCTAGGAAGTCAGATAAGTGAGGATGGAAGGAGTAGTAGGGATATAAAGCAGAGGATAGCGCAGGGTCGTGTCGCCTTTAATAAAAAGAAGTCACTTCTATGCTCGCGAACGGTTAATTTAGAAATTCGAAAAAGGTTGTTAAAGGTGTATGTTTGGAGCACGGCGTTGTACGGGTGTGAAACATGGACAGTGGGAGCGGCGGAAAAGAAAAGGTTAGAAGCGTTCGAAATGTGGTGTTATAGGCGGATGATGAGGATATCGTGGGTAGAAAAGGTTAGAAATGAAGAGGTATTGGAAAGAATAGGAGAACAGAGGACTCTATGGAAGTCAATAAAAAATAGGCGAGATAGGTTGGTAGGACACCTTCTCAGGCATGAAGGTCTAGTCAGAGACATATTAGAGGCAGAAACAGGAGTTAGGAGGGGTAGAGGTAGACCTAGATTAGATTACTGTTCGCAAATAGTTAAGGATGTGGGCTGTTCTAGTTTTAGGGAAATACGAAGTTTAGCTCAGGATAGGAAAGAGTGGAGGTACGTGTCCAACCAGTCTTAGGACTGATGACCTTATGATGATGATGACGATGACATATAAATCATAACAACTTTACCAAAACAGTAGTTTTTCAGGTGTTTTAACAGATAACAACTCTTTCAATTAACAGTTGCAGAAGCCATCAAAGAAAACTAAAAGGGACTGTTTGACAATTAAAGTAAGCGAAAGACGTGTTCGCTTTTTAAAACGTTTGTTGTGTTTATCTACAGTAGGTTAAATGATTTACTAACAATAGTCTCATTTATTATTCTTCTTGTTTTGTATTAGGAATGCCCATCATGTTAACATTACTACTTAATAATATCAAAGGCGCTCATCATTATCAGGGGATTGCCAGTCTTAAGGCCTTCACTGTTTTCTATCCTGAGCTAATCTTCGCATTTCCCTAAAACTAGAGCATCCCACATCTTTAACTATTTGCAAATAGTAATCTAATGTATGTCTACCTGTACCCCTCTTAACTCCTGTTTCTGCTTTTAATAAGTCTCTGATTAAACCTTCATGCCTATGTCTTACCAACCTATCTCGCCTATTTTTTATTGACTTCCATATAGTCCTCTGTTCTCCTACTCTTTCTAATACCTCTTCATTTCTAACCTTCTCTATCCACGGTAACACCATATTTCGAATGCTTGTAACCTTTTCTTTTCCGCAGCGCCCATCTCAACGTTTCGCAACTGTACTGCGTCGTGTTCCAAACATCCATCTTTATCAATCTTTTTCTAATTACTAAATTAAAAATCTGCTCTTATTGAAGTATCATCGTTTTCATAAAGGCGGCTCGACCCTGCGCTATCCTTTGCTTTATATCTCTACTGCTCCTTCCATCCTGTATTATCTGACTTCCCAGATACCGAAAATCAAGTTGTTCAATTTTTTCGTCACCTATATTTATATTCACTCTTTCCGTACTTTTTCTGCCCTTACATACCTATCAATATTTTTGTTTTACTTTTATTTATTTTCATATGAAGCTTTTGTCAATACCGTTTCTTGTCCTCTCTAACTCCCCCTTGTTTGATGCAATGTTGGAAAAGCGCTCGAAGTGGATTAATTGTAAATCATGAAAGAAAAGAAATTGTCATACTCTCAACTCGCCAAAAGAAGCATATTAACTTCAAAAATGTTAGATTCAGTCACAAGAAATGTGACATTATTTATTTGAAATAATTTTGTACATTTTCTTTACTGATAACTGTTTTATTTTTCATCTGAATACAAACCTAAAAATATTTCTGTCACGGCCTCAAATGTGTTACCTTCCTCATGCTAGAATATTATGTTTATTTATCTTACTGAATCTCTGTATCAAGAAGATTTTATTCAAAAGACATATTTATTCAAGCATTACTCCTTTTACCGATTCACAGAACGAAAATGGTTAGGCTGTCTTTTTATTAATTTAAATCTCAACGGTCCATCTCTCTTGCATTCTTGCAAACTTGTAGAAATTGGACGTGAAAAAGTATCGTCACGATCACTCCTTATTTCGGAGAAAAAGTTCTGGACGACTGCCAACAAGCAGCCTCCATTATCCAAAGAAATAGGAATGTCGTGAGAATTATTACAACGCATATATTTATGTCCATTTACAAAGTCTACTTTAGAAAGAAGTTAATCCTCGCCATCTTTTTATTTAACGTAACTTGCCAGTATATCGTCCAGAGGCGCAATTAAGAAAAAGATGCATATAAGGAACGATAAAATACAGTCATATTGAAAATATTTGTATCGTTGCAATCAATAATAGCAAAATTTAAATGAATACAAAATGCGTTTTACTTTTATAAGTGTTTAAATATAGCAGTATTAGCATCCAACAAGGAGGACCTAGAGATAGCTTTAAATAAAATGGAAGCGGTACTGACAGATCAGTAGGTACTGTACGAAAATAAATAAAAGAAAAACAAAAATACATGTATGCAAGGGAAGAAAAAGTAGGGAAAGATCGAATATAAAGTTAGAAGAAGTGGCTGATTTTAGATATCTAGAAAGTCAGATAAGTCAAGACGGAAGGATTAGTAGGGATATAAAGCAGAGGATAGCGCAGGGTCGTGTCGCCTTTAATAAAAGGAAGTCACTTCTATGCTCGCGAATGATTCATTTAGAAATTCGAAAAAGATTGTTAGAGGTGTATGTTTGGAGCTCGGCGATGTACGGATGCGAAACATGGACAGTGAGCGCGGCGAAAAAGAAAAGATTAGAAGCCTTCAAAATGTGGTGTTATAGGCGAATGATGAGGATAACGTGGGTAGAAAAGGTTAGAAATGAAGAGGTATTAAAAAGAATAGGAGAACAGAGGACTCTACGAAAGTCAATAAAAAATAGGCGAGATAGGTTGGTAGGACATCTTCTCAGGCATTAAGGTCTAGTCAAAGACATATTAGAGGCAGAAACAGGAGTTAGGAGGAGTAGAGGTAGACCTAGGTTAGATTACTGTTCGCAAATAGTTAAGGACGTGGGTTGTTTTAATTTTAGGGAAATGCGAAGTTTAGCTCAAGATAGGAAAGAGTGGAGGTACGTCTCCAACCAGTCTTAGGACTGACAACCTTATATGATGAAGTGTTTAACACAATCTGTATTTAAAGTGTTTTAAAGATTTTTCAATTTATGATAATGTATTCGAATAAGTCTATTTATTTGAATAAATCCCGGGTATGCAACTAATTTACATAGAAGGATGATGAAAGATATTTTCTCTTTCGTGCGTGCATTTGTTAAAGATTTTATTTAAACTGGGTTATATTCAAATAGGTTAGTAATTTGTTTTCATCATTACAAAGTTCGATATACTTAGGAGGTATTGGAAAGTGTTCGAGAATCGGAGAATGCTGTGGAGATTCATAAAAAATAGACGAGATAGGTTGGTAGGACACCTTCTCAGGTATAAAAAGCTATTTATAATCATACATATTAGAAGCAGAAACAGGAATTATGAGGAGAATAGGTAGACATAGAGTAGATTACTGTTCACAAATAGTTAAGGATGTGGGATGTTCTAGTTTTAGAGAAGTGCGAAGATTAGGTCAAGGTACGAAAGAGTGGAGATACGTGTCCAATCAGTTTTAGGACTGACGACCATATGATGATCTAATACTTCGTAATTAAGCGGTTTATTGATTTTTAAATTATGAATCAACTTTTCAAATTCGAATTTTCTCAGACATACTGTATTTTTGACTTTTTTTAACTAATGTTCTCGTACTTCTCATCAAGGTAACCAATACTAACGAAATTCATACAATTGTTATAGCTTAAGATTCATAAGAAGTCTTTTTGGATACGGTTAAGTAATAATTTACAAACATTTTGACAAATTCCTTGTTGCTTACGATGGTAAGGTGATTTACAAAGCTCCTTGAAAGTCATACTTTCAGATTAAAAAACTATCCGATTCCTAGCTTTTACCTGCGATCTCGTCCATGTGAATTTTTGATATTAACTTTGGTTATTATGGAAGACAGAGGGTGAAAGTGTTATTATTTATGGCTTCTCCTAATCCATCAACACGAGACTCCGTTTTAATGTAGTTCCATTCGCCCTTCACTAAATTCTCTTAAATTTTACAAATTATCATTTCATTTCATTTTAATAGAATTAAAAAAGCCTGCAGATTGATACCCCAGAAAGAACCCTCTTTATGAAGGAAGTAATTTGCTTTGAAGTGTAACTGTGCCAAGTTTTAAGTTTGACACGCACGCCCAGAGAATACAACTTTAACGTACCTGTATACAAATTTCACTCCCTCGAATATTTGATTTTCGAAAAATCTTTTCTCGTTGCACCTTTTACACTCTCTAAGGGGTATATTTTCCAAATTTCATGTTTCTATCTTCAGTGGTGTATGCTGTGCTTTGTCTGTCAGTCAGTCAGTCACGAAACCCTTAATTTATAGTAGATTTCCAGGAGCTGATGTTTTCTTGTTTATGCCTTAATAATTTCTCATAAAAATGCTTTTCCTTATAGTGATCGTCCTTTGTTTAATAATGATTACCTATTTGGACCCGCAGGATTTTCTATGCGCATTCGACAAAGTCAATTAAATCTGGACAGTTAAACAGCCCTTTTGTTCCGTTGTTCCAGATAAAGCCCCAACGGAAGCCTCGTTTCGTGGAAATGAGTATTTATCGTATGACCTCAGTCAAACAGGAAGCGATGCTGTGGTCAGCACACAGGACTCTATGACGTTCTACTTCAAAACGAGAGTGCCCAGCGGACTGCTCTTCTATTTAGGTAAGTAATTTAGTTAATTCTAGCCAGCCTTACAAAAGCAATCCCATTATGAAATAATCAAAACCGCATTCATAAATAGAATGTGTGTATGTAGTAGCTAATACGTATACATGTAATCACCTTAGGTACCTATGTGCAGTCTGTTTATTTCATAGATAGACTGAATATAAATACAATCTAGTATTATACACAACTGTCGAAACCTGAATCATTGAACAGGACTGTATTTAGAACAAAAGGTATTCAAACAATTTGATTTTATTAGAAATATAGCATACCAGAAAATAGCACATCTTTTTTTTGACGTGACAACGTCTTATAATTCGATGGAGCCGGCTGCACGCACGAAAATACATGACTCATGCGGCGTTACCTCGCTCTGAGGCGTTCCATTTAAGGCATGAAGTGCAAGCGAGAGCGCAGAACGAGCGACAAAGAGGCACAATCGGCCTCCGCGTTCGGCAGCGTTCGACATCTGTCTCTCTCCTACTTGAGTGAGCGATGCGTCCGCGTGGACAGCTGCTATACAATAATACATTTCCATTTATCTCCTTGTCTATATCCATACAAAGCATCTATCAAACAAATAAAATTAAAATTTTCTTTTGAAAAATGAAACCATTCCATCAGTATTTTCTTATGACGTTGTCACATTCAACTATCGTCAGTAAACCGACACTACAGACAACCGATTTTTTTGTTTAAATTATTCTCGAGGAGAGGAAATCTTCAAAAGACACCCCCTGAAGGGAGGTAGTGTCGGATTTTTACCGACTACAATCCCTCCTCGAATGGGGAGATAAACGCTGAGGGTTACTCTTCCCCAGGAGGAGAATTAAAGGTTGGGATTGGAGAGAGTGTTGAGAAGGGAAAATATTGAAGCGGGGGGGAGAGGGAGTGTTGGGGAGAGAGAACCGTCGGTTATAGGTGATCCACCTTTGAAGTGACGGGTGGATACTCGCGCTAAAAAGCGAAGAAAAAAGAAATAGAATGTCCTGTATATAAACCAAATAAAAGAAGCGTAATCAATAAATAAATAGTCAAAATGTCACGGTGCACTTATTGACTGAATATGCGATCTTGAATAATTTAAATCGAAGTGAGCGAAAACCCGGGGATTAAAAATTATCCGTCTGCTAATTGGTGATCAAGCCTTCAGGTTTATTTTGGTTTGGTTTATCTTAAATTTAAATAGACTATAGATGATCTGCAAATATACCCTTTGTATAAATAGTATTAAATAGTTATATACAACCCTATATCAAATAAATAAATATAACAAACATATCATAACATCTATAGTTCATTCAGGAAATACTCACTTATGGTATAGTGTAGGATCAAAGGCAGGATAGAAGAATATTTATTATGCCAACATCGACGTTTCGCCATTTTGTGCAATTTTGTCATGGTAGATTTTAAAGTCAATAATAGTTCTTTTTTTGCAAACGGCGACGAGTAAGGGTGACCATATGATCCTCGTACTGCTGAAGACTAGGTACTGTTGCTTTTGATCGAGGTAAAAGAATCCTGAAAATAAGCTCTTTGATGATTTGAAAACAAAACACAATTGTAAAGCACTTTCAGTCAGGGGTAATAAAACCATTGTCTAAACACACAAAATGCTTCGTCGTAAACGGGGCCTCTTCCTTTCTTCCTGGGCATCCTTTGATTTGCTGGTACTGATGTGCCGGACTATTACGAACTGCCAATTCATCTCTAAAGGTTTTTTTTATAACAAGTGTTTCTAAATGTCAGTACATGATGGTTCATTACACCTTAGATTGCCAGGATGATGTTGGGCACATATGATTTTTTTATTTTGATATAAGCAAATTTCACTCACTTTAATGAATAGGTATTATGATTTCACCCGGACTCAAAATTCAATTACGAATTTCCGGACATTTCCGATATTTTCTGGATGGATAACCACCCCATGTCGAATGTAAAAATGATAGAAATATCAATTCAGACAATACAATACAATGTAATATAAAGAAGCTTTTTTTATCGACTAAAATCCCTCTACCTCAGACTGTTCCAGGACAACTTCAACTTCAACTTCAGCCGTATGATTTTGTGTATTATGTGATTATGGTTTTTATATGGTGTGTGTCTGAATGTGTGTATGCGTGTGTGTGTGTATTACGTTAGAAACAAAGAATGCAAAGTTTCTATACTTTATTAGAACTTATTTTGCTCATCACTAATAATTTTAATCATAATCAGAAACAAAACCTGACTAGTAACAGGTGTCATATAAAATCACCAAACATATCAATAAACACTAGTAACTTATTTGTGTTTTATCTAAAAAACAAGTTATCTTACTGCGGCATAGAAAGCTGCCTTTTACCCAAAAACAATGCGATGAATGTAAAATCCTGTTTGATATCGACTTCAGATATCGGAACAGATTACATGAGCACAATGGTATCCGTCAGAAACAAATGCTGCACACCGTCCATGTTTTGTTTCATTTGACTGAATTTTGAATCTCGAAATTAGATTAAACTTCAAAAAAAGCTCTTCAAACGATTTACATTACAAAAACAATGCGGTTTAGCGCTTGATATAATTCGATTTGCTATTTTCCTGTCTACCGTATGAACTTAATCCAATTGCGCTAATCACGTTACTATTGTTTCCAAAAGTACCTGATAAATGACTTCAGTTTCAGTTATATACATACGCAAGACTTAGAGAAAAAAATTCGATCTATATATACCTGCATGCGCATTTCTACACGATTCTGCAATAGATTTATACGATTTTTTATTTAAAAATGGATAGTGTCTGCTACTATACGCTTAAACCTGTAGTAAAACAGTAAAAATCGGTTATAACGTACTAGAGTAAAGCAAAAATCGGTACGTTATATCAAAAGTTCGTTAAAGCAGAGGAAACACATATGCTCCGATACAGTCTCACTGTTTTCGTTAAATCTTTGAAAAATATATAAGTACAGTACCAATTACGAAGACAACAAAAAAATAATATTTGGTTTTTTTAAACAAAAATGAGTAAAAAAAGCGTCAATGTTTACTTACTAATGACTACCGCCGGACCCGGATATTTGGTACTTTATATCAAGAGTATGGCTTGGATCTCTGATATCGTAGGTTATAACCATAAGTCCGTAGTATGTCTGTATAGAAGTGGGATTTAATATATTTTACACATATGTATATATATCCCTTATTTTGCATTGGTCTCTTGCAGCCACTTTAAACGTGCAACTGAAGTAAACAATTAACCGGCGAAAATTATGAAGTAAAAGGAAAAATACTTCAAATAAGCCTGTAACACCAACAGTAACTAACTAACTAACTAACTAACATAATTAATGTACGTATTTTGTATTTAGTGAATAAAAAAATTATTAATTTTTATGGGATCGGTCAAGTCCAAACAAAACCCATCAAAATTCTCTTTCATTACCAAACAAGTTAATACCTGATTGCTTACTCTTTATTCATAAATAGTAATAATAGAAGGTAAGAAGAATTCTTTCGTTAGGAGTTGAGAATCGTTTGGCGTTTCTGAAACTACAAGTAGGAACCCATATATATATATTCATATATAATATAAAATAACGGTTATTTGAATCTTTTGACAGTTCTCTTTACTTTTCAACAGTATTACAGACGTATTAAGAAGCAGAAACAGGAGTTAAGAGAAGCAGAGGTAGACATAGATTAGATTACTGTTCGCAAATAATTAAACAGCACAGTGGGGATATCCAACCAATCTTCACGCTGACGATGATAAGGGTCAATATTGAAATCTGAATGGTCAGATGGTCAGTATTCTTTATTGGTTACTATTTAAATATGAAGGATCAGTGTTTAAATCTAAATAGTCAATGATCTAACTAAGTAACCAACTAATCTAACCAGCAAGTAATTAATACTCTCACCGTTTGGTATTTAAGTACATATTGACCATTTGGTAATAAAATTCTAACCAAAAGTCAGTTTATATATTCACCGAAAATGGATTTAAATATTAACCATTTAATTTATTCTCATTATTAAGAAGGTTTGGTGCGTATTGTTTAAAACGTTAAGCTTTCTTCACAATACTGAATTTATGAGAAATCGTTCTCCATTAAATACGACTTATAAAGATGAAAGGTATTATAACTACCTACTGAATTCGACGTAATGAAAATCGTGAAAAGTGATCTTTCATAACTGAAACTCTCCGAATTTTATCACACATAATTTCCTTTATTACAAGACACTTTCAGTTCAAAAATTTAATATATATTCTGCCAAGTCTTAGTAGTAAACTTTCTTTGTTCGGCGTTTCCTATTCCTAAATGAAAATTTATGGTTGGCTGAACTCGCTCTATAAATTTCGAAACTTGCAGTAAGTAGATATTGTACAATTATTTTTTCTTTATTCTGATGCAATAGAAGGCTTTAATTAATTTTTGAAGTGGATGAATATTAACTAACTCTTTTACTATCTGAATGCGAGCATTTTAAAATTGCATAATAATTTTTTGACGGATGAGTGTTGTTTGAAAATTAACAAATAAGAAAATAGAAATATTATTACGTAAGGGATTTAAAGTGGGACTAGAACTGATATAAAATTAAGAGACGAACAACTAGAAGAAGTCGCTGACTTTCGATATATTTAGTGAGTCAGATAGCTCAAGATGTAAAAAGTGCTAAAGATATAAGATGAAGAATAGCGAAAGATTGAGTGGCTTCTTACAAAAAAATACTTTTGTATTCAATATTGACTCCTCTTCTTGGCATGGAACAATATTTATACTTCGTGTACTTTCTGTAGCGATGTGGCCTTCAGTTTGACCGGCGCAAAGTAGAAAAGAACAGCACTAGACCAGAAAAGGAAGGAGACAACTCTCGGCCAAACTCTTAACCGGTGAGGAGCGTATAATCTGTACAGTACTGCACGGAAAAATTGACCATTTTATCCACTACAATTGCATTGTTCAAATGTGCTGTTATTGGCACCATTTACTACTGAAAATATCAAGGAGATGTTTATTGATATTTGAAGACATTAAAGGTTTTAATGCTTGTTTTCGACTCGCACTACTATTCATGATTGAACAAAACTTTTGGCAGGTACTGTATGAAGAAGTAAGTTTAATGAAAAAGAGTCGAGAGTATAATGAGCTTTTTTCTCCCTACCTACGATTTTGCCAGCGCGTATCGAAGACATTGGAAGGGGCAAATCGCTAGAGAAAGTAAATGAAGTATAAGTAATATATTTAAATACTCATAAAAATTGTGAATATATGTACATAATCTATGTATTTCTATGTATATAATTGTTGTATCTACTCGTTGCTTATATTCTATGTATCTATGTATATGTTGCAATTGTAAGTATAAAAAGTGATTTACTTTGTTGCAGGCGATGGAGCAGATTACTTGAACGTGGCAATCAAAGAAGGTTGTCTGATCCTTACAATGGGGCTTTCCAATGGAAAGCAAGAAATGCAAATCAAGCCTAATAAAGTTCGCTTCGACGATAATCAATGGCATAAAGTCAGTATACATCGGAAAATGCAAGAGGTAAGTAAGTTTGGTAGTAAATTTTATGTCGTTATAAATATACGGAATAAGCTTCTTCAAACAAAAAAACGACCAGAACGCGAAATATTTCCAGAGTTCCAAAATCAATTCATAACATTCTAAGCGTATTTTCCTGGATATTTTAAATAAAATCCTATTTGGAAAATACTAATATTTTTTCAATAAAAAGCAGCCAAACAAGGGTGAAATGTTCTTTATTTGTAACGTAATCTCTAACCAACGTTTCGCTTTTATGAAACATGGACCAAAAAGGCAAAACATCACTTGGAGATTACGTAACAAATAAAGAACATTTAGTTCCTTTTAAAATAATTCTATAACTTATTTCTAACAAATCGTCATTATACGATTCCTATATATCTATGGTTGTTACTTTTCATCGGGTGTATGAGTTTCACAAGTACATATAGGAAAGCTAAACGCTTAGGTACTTGGTGTTCAATGATACCATACATTTCTCGAAATATAATTTTTAAGTTAAAAAAAAACAAAAAGTTGAACTATTAATTGCTTCGTTATTGTTAGAACGTTGTAATTGTTATTTAAAGAATAAAACTGATTCAATGTTTGCTAATCATGTCACTCATGAAGAACATTGTTTTAACGATAATTTAAAAATCTTACATCTTGCATCTACAAGGTTTTAAATTTAAAACATTTGGTTTTTCTGGAAAACTTTTAGAGATAAATAATTAAAACCTTATGTCAGTAGAAAGGACTTTTAATTTCGCATCGAACAATATGATTTAATTTGAAAAACAAAAACATTATTTGTCAAAGGTAGATTTCGATTTTTCGAGCTCTGAATAACGTACACACTTTGCCCATAACAGAGAAGATACGGTAATTTCTGCTAAAACTCACTGTCAAAACCGCAGGTTTTTAGCTTTTATGGTTTAGATACTGTTTGGTCTCATTCAAACAGCTAAAATTGTGTTTTTTTTTCAAAAACAGTTGAATATTCTCAATAACTACTAGAGGTAGATACAGAAAAATAATCGACCTAAAATTAAACAAAGAAACCAAAAATGCAAAAATATGTACGGTGTTCCATTTAAAATAACGTAAGTTAGGTAGCGTTAAGAACACTCTACATGAGTGAAAAGATTTTCTGCATATGCACCATATAATTCCAGACCACTTTTATAAAAGCATTTTTTTTTTATTAAAAGTATAATAACAGAGTTATGGACAAACCCTCCTTAGGTGGTCCATGTACATAATAAAGGGAAAAAGTTAACCCTTTTAGAGAACCTGACAATAAATAGATTTAATAAAATATGATTTATTCTGAATGACTAAGTTGACGTTAATAACGCCTCTCTATTGAGTTTGTTTTATCTGAATACCACCCCCAAAAATTGGTAGTAGACACGTATTACAGTAATTCGCCCAGATATTACAGTCAGTTGCAAAATACTCAATTCGTTAGAAGAAGTCAATGTGGCGAAACATGTTACAAAGTAAAAGTTTGTAAAAATTTTTTTAAAAAATATTGAGGTAACTTCTACGATAAGTCAAACAGTCTTAACGAAAAATATTATTTTCTTATTTAAGATAATATTGAGCTACCAGTGTTTGATAAATAATTAATAATAGGTCTGTCAACTATAAAGCAACTGTAAAGGTCTATTTTCCATAATAAAATTTTTGGAAACAATTAAACTGTCTTCATTTTCTATTTTATTTAAAAGAAGCTTTCTACGGCTTTCATCGACGAAAATGTTAATGTGTCACGTGCAACATTAGATATCTTTCGCTCTTTTATTATTCGAGCACGCCTCTGCTCGTTGCAATTGTGAGATGACATAACATAATACGTAGCACGTGTGTCAACTCGGTCATGTATGACCGAAGCATGTGAAAAGCAAATAAATTTTCTCTTCCTTCGACCGAGTAGCCTCAAGCGCGCTTCGTTTATCTCATTTGAATGGAAATTACTGCTGATGAGTATTGGAAGGGCGTACTCGAAACTAATGAGAAAATTCGAGTGTTCCGCCTCCCATTCCTGCAAAAACATGCCGTCCGTTTTTGTCCTGGTTTTTGAAGGTCTTCATACGGCTTTATTCCGTACTGACAACGGGAAATAGAGGCCATACAGTTACCCAAACCATCCCTAATTTTACATTATTCGCAATACAAAGGAACGTTCTTGTTGAATATGCCATGTTGTCCTTTATTAAATTTTGTAGAAAATATAAAAACTTAAACATAACGAAGTACTAATTTAAGCAAAAAATTACGATTAATTAATGTTTTGACTTCGCTAGAATAGAAAGGAAAATTTAATTTTTTACATCAAAGAAAATTATTGGAAAATATTTTGTTTAATTTTTTCCACATTGGAATAAAAGAACAGAAATTACAATTGCTATTAAATTAAAGTTTCCTCATTAAAATAAAAGTCGAGCAAAAGCAGTTCAATTATAGACTAAAGCCCAGTAAAAACAAATCATGGAAACACCTTATTAAAATATTAAAATTAAATTATTATTAGATGGTGGAAATAAAAAATCTTTTAATCAAAATTTGTGATTATTGTAATTGAATAATTTCGTTTTTTTTTTAATTTTCTTACGATAAAAATAACTTCATTTAAGATTTTCTAAACTTACAATTTTTTAAATTTGTTTATTACGTATTAACCTAGCGAATTTTTAAAACCGCAGGACATAAAAAAGGGCAGTATACCTTCCTGTTAAGCGGTGACTAATAAAACTTTACTTTTCCAAATGTTTCGTCGTTCCTTATTGAAGCCATCAGCCGTAACCGAGGTTTAATTGACGTAGCCTGAAACTTGTTAACAAGTAATTAATTCAGGATCAATTTAATGACTGGTTTCTCAACAATCTTAAGTTTCTCAATATTAAAAATAACTTTAATGCGAATATCATAAGTGTTTATAGCGTTCTTTTAGGCATCTTAGATCTGATATTTCTGATTTACAGTTTTAGATTTCAACATACCACTTATTATGACAAGGCTTTTTAGTTGGTAGTTTTGATTGCATGTTTTGGTGAAAAAGTTAGAATGAAATTTTTGAAAAGCTCATTTTCCTATTCTTTTGTTTCAGGTGGCCCAGTTTACGAGCTTTTGCAGGGTAAGTCTGTAAGTTTAAAAATTATTTCCGTAAGGCATTTCAACCTAAAAAAGGCTGAGAAAGCAAAATTAGCGTCGCGCAAAATACACGAAATCTCCCATTTCTCGGTTTCAAACGAGAGAGATGCATTACAAATATTAAAAAATCGAGCGTTCTTCAAATAAGCGGTCATAAAAGTTGGAAAGTTATTTTTCAAAGACTGTTCGACTCAATTTACACTAAAGTTTTATGATAATTTCTAATTGACACAAAAAGTAATCTACGAAAATATATTAAAGCTACTCTTTGGTAAATTGGACAATTATGCGCTTCGTCTCTTCAGTTTATGAGTAATAAAGATTGCCACTCCATTTTCTCTGTGGAAATCCAACAGACAACATGCTTTAACTTATAGAACAGAATAATATGTGCCAAATAAGGGGTGAAAAGATTTTTGACGTGACAACGTCTTATAATTCGATGGACGCACGAAAAAACATGACTCATGCGGCGTTACCTCGCTCTGAGGCGTTCCATTTAAGGCTTGAAGTGCAAGCAAGAGCGCGGAACGAGCGACAAAGAGGCACAATCGGCCTCCACGTTCGGCAGCGTTCGGCAGCGTTCTCTCTCCTACTTGAGTGAGCGATGCGTCCGCGTGGACAGCTGCTATACAATAATACATTTCC